CAGGAATGAAGCAGAGCGGCGGAGGACAGAGGGTCTTGGAGGTGTCTCCAAGAGATGTCAATTTGAGGGAAGTTAACAACAAACAACAAAACTCCTTTATATGCCATGAGCATGAGTTAAGATTGACTTGAAGGCAGCTAATAACAAACAACAACAAAATTCTACTACAATGAATGGAATCACAGAATCATAGAGTTGGAAGAGACCGCAAGGGCCATCCAGTCCAAATGCCTGCCATGCATGAATAATAATAATAATAATAATAATAATAATAATAATAAAGTTTATTTGTATCCCGCCCATTGGTAATAATAATTATTATTAAATAATTATAATTATTGGTAATTATTGGTAATAATAGTAAGAATAATCCAATAATGTTAATAACAATATCCATCATCAAAGAAATAATAATATAATGATGTACTAATTATCTAATATAATAATAATAGAATAGAATAATCAAATATTAATAAAGATATAATAATACGACAATAATAATAAGAATCAAATAATGATAATAATATCAGTCATCAAATAATATAATAACATAATGATAATATAATAATCGAATAATGATAATACGTTAACAATAATAAAATAATACTAATACTAATAATACAATAATATAATGATAATAATAAATCAAATAATAATAACAATAGGAATAATCAAATACTACTACTACTACTAATAATAATAATATTATGGTGGTGGTGGTAATGATGGTGATAATAATGATAAACATAATAACCGAATAATGATAATAACAATATTAATAATCTAATACTAATCATATAATAATAATAATAATATGGTGATGGTGATGGTGCTAATGATAATAACAATACTAATAATTAAATACTACTACTACTACTAATAATAATAATAATAATAATGTGATGATGATGACGATGATAATAATGATAATAAACACTATCCCCTGCTCTCTCTTCATTGGAGGAGTCTCCTGCCTCTCTCTCTCTCTTTCTGAAGGGTCTCCTTTCCCCTCCCCTTTTTAAATTCTCCCCTCAAGAACCCGCACCCAGCCCAACCGCCCTTCTCCCCGAGCCCCGCCCCACCCCGCCCTGACTGGCTGCTGCTCCGCAACAGGCCACGCCCTTCGCCCTCCTGGTTGGCGCGCCTGCCTAGCCAGCCTCGCCCTCGCCTCTTCCCATTGGCTGCTGCGCGCGAGGCCCCTCCTGCTCCCCGCCCGCTCTCTGAGGCGGAGGTCGGGGCTGGGCCGAGGGTCCCGGCGGCCGCCACCTCCCCCTCCGTCGGCCTCAGCGCTCCCAGGGCAGGCAGCGGCTCAATGGCGGCGGCGGCAGCGGCGGGGGTCTCTGGTCCTGCGGGGCCCGGCATGGGCATGGCTGCGCCCCCGGCGTCGGGTCCCTGCCTGGCCGGGTCGGGGGTCTCCGGAGGAGGGGGTCTCGGGCCGGTCCCGGTGCCCATGAACCTCTTCGCCACCTGGGAGATCGACCGCTCCGCGCCCAGCTGCGTCCCCAGGTGAGGAGGGAGGGGCGGCGGCGGGCGGAGGCTGAGGGGAGACCTGGGTCGGGGGCGCCGCGCAGGAGGAGGCCCCGGCGAAGAGAAGGAGGAGGAGCGAAGGAGAGAAAGACCACCTGGGGGTGGGTCCTCGAGGGGCTTCTGGGCTCAGGAGGGAAGGAAGGAGGACGGGAAGGGGGTGCTTCCGACTCTGGGTGGCAGGGCGGCCAGGCATCCTCCTTTCCCCGGACACTTCAGCCTTCTCCCAGGGAGGGATTCCAAAGTGTCCTCCATTTCGAGCTCATGACCAAGAAGCATGGGTTGGAATTGATATCAGGGGGACCAGAGGGCCTCCTCCTTTTTCTAGACATGTCCTCCATTTCAGGCTTCTGTCCAGGAAGGATTCCAAAGTGTCCTCCATTTGGAGCTTTATGACCAAGAAGTGTGGCTTGATAGCAGGGGGACCAGGCCACGTCCTCCATTTCAGGCTTCTGTCCAGGAGGGATTCCAAAGTGTCCTCCATTTTGAGCTCATTACCAAGAAGCATGGGTTGGCATTGATATCAGGGGGACTAGACGTCCTCCTCCTTTTTCTGGGCATGTCCTCCATTTCAGGCTTCTGTGAAGGAGGGATTCCAAAGTGTCCTCCATTTCGAGGTTTATGACCAAGAAGCGTGGCTTGATAGCAGGGGGACCAGGCCATGTCCTCCATTTCAGGCTTCTGTCCAGGAGAGATTCCAAAGTGTCCTCCATTTTGAGCTGTGTGACCAAGAAGCATGGATTGATAGCAGGGGGACCAGGCCATGTCCTCCAATTCAGGCTTCTGTCCAGAAGGTATTCCAAAATGTCCTCCATGTTGAGCGTATGACCAAGAAGCATGGATTGGCCTTTATATCAGGGGGACCAGACGTCCTCCTTTTCCAGGCCCCATCTTCCAGCTCAGTCTTCTGTCCAGGAGGAAGCATGACTTTATATTGATATCAGGGTGAGAAGACACCTTCCTTTTTCAAGCCATGTCCTCCATTTCAGCCTTCTGTCCAGGAGCACAGTACACCCTCTATTTTGAGTATATGACCAAGAAGCATGGATTGACATTGATATGAGGGAGACCTGGCGTCCTCCTTTTCCAGGATGCTCCTTTACCAGGCCACAGTTTTCCATTTTAGGTTTCTGTCCAGGAGGAGTTCCAAATTGTCCTCCATTTTGAGCTTATGTCCAAGGAACATGGATTGACATTGATATGATGGGAAGCAGGTGCCCTCCTTTTCCAGCATGCTCATATTTCAGGGCATGCCCTCAGTTCCAGTCTCCTGTCCAGGAGGAATTCCAAAATGTCCTCCATTTTGAGCTTATGACCAAGACATATTAGGGTGACCAGGTATTCTCATTTCAGCCTTCTGTTCAGGAGGATCCAAAATGTCCTCCATTTTGAGCATGGCCAAGAAGCATAATTGATATGTATTTCAGGGTGACCAGACATCCTCCTTTTCCAGACTATGTCCTCCTATTCAGCCTTCTGTCCAGGAGGAAGCATGAATTTACATTGATATCAGGGTGACCAGACACCCTCCTTTTCTAAGCCATGCCCTCCATTTCAGGCTTTTGTCCAGGAGGGATTCCAAAATGTCCTCCATTTTGAGCTTATGATGAAGAAGCATGGCTTTACATTTATATCAGGGTGACCAGACATCCTCCTTTTCCAGGACTTATCCTCCATTTCAGCCTTCATCTGTGGTGTAGTGGTTTGAGCATTGGATGCTCTGGAGACCAGGGTTCAAATCCTGCTCAGTCATAGAAACTCACTGAGTGATCCTGAGGGCCAACTTAGGCTCGCCAGGTCAGAAACAACTGGAAGGCACACAACAGCAAGCACAACTTGCAAGGCATCAATTATATGATTTTGAGGAGAGGAAGAGAGTGGTCTGGCATGGTGTAGTGCAAGGGTAGGCAGCCTTTCCCCTTTAAGGGCCGAGGGACTTCAGCTCCCAGAAGCCTCAGCCATGTTGGCCAGTAGTCCCATGTTGGCCAATAGCTCCTGGGATTCTGGGAGCTGAAGTCCCTTGGCCCTTAAAGGGGAAAGGTTGCCTACCCCTGGTGTAGTGGCTTGAGTGTTGGACTACAACTCTGAGGGTTGGGATTCATTTCGCAGCTTGACCATGAAACCCTCTGTGGCAGGTTTCTTCAAAAGGGGTTTGTCATTGCCACCTTCTGAGGCTGAGAGAGTGTGACTTGCCCAAGCTCACCCAGTGGATTTCCATGGCCAAGCAGGGAATCGAACCCTAGTCTCTAGAGTCGTAGTCAAACATTCAAATCACTACACCACACTGCCTCATTCTCTTCCTTTCTTCAAAGTCATAGCCATGGATGAACGATTTGCATGTTGCTGTTGTGTGCCTTCTATTCATTTCCAACTTATGGTGACCCTAAGGCCATATCATAGACTGCAGGGGTAGGCAACCTTTCCCCTTTAAGGGCCGAGGGACTTCAGCTCTCAGAATCCCAGGAACTATTGGCCAACATGGGACTATTGGCCAACATGGCTGAGGCTTCTGGGAGCTGAAGTCCCTCGGCCCTTAAAGGGGAAAGGTTGCCTACCCCTGTCATAGAGTTTTCTTGGCAAGTTTCTGCGGAAGAGGTTTGCCATTGCCATCCTCTGAGGCTCAGAGAGTGTGACTTGCCCAGGCTTACCCAGTGGGTTTCCATGCTGGAGTGGGGAAATCCATCCCTGGTCTCCAGAGTAATAGTCCAACACTCAAACTACTACACCACACTGCCTTTGACACCGTTGGCATATAAGAGAGTGAGGCAGTTCTGGCTTGCAAGAAGATGTGGTTCCATCCTAGTGTTTTTTTTTCACTGTATTTGTTTTTTTTCTTCATTTTGGTTGCTGAATAAAATTTTTGCTGTTATCTCACAAAATACTGGTTTACTGAACTGGAGAGAGTGGAGAGCACCTGACAGTCCCAGATTACTGTTCTCCCCTAGAGAAGGGATTCTTGGATTTGTTTTAATTTGTGATGTTTTAATTTGTTGTACGCCACCCTGATTGCGCTGCAGAGGGGCGGGCTAAAAATAAAAAATTATTATTATTATTATTATTATTATTTTTGAGGTTCCTCAGGAAGTTTGGGAAAAGGATGGTTGGTTCATGGAAGATGAGTTTATCTGTTAGAGAGCAAGCCCATTTTGCCAAGTTGTTGTTATTGTTGTGTGCCTTCAAGGGATATGAACACCATCCTAGTGTTTTTGAGGTTCCTCAGGAAGTTTGGGAAAAGGATGGTTGGTTCATGGAAGATGAGTTTGTCTATTAGAAAGGAAGCCCATTTTGCATAGTTGTTGTGTGCCTTCAAGTTGTTTCCAACTTATGGAGACCCTAAGGCAAGTCTGTCATGGGTTTTTCTTGCCAAGCTTCTTCAGAGGGGTTTCCCCATTGCTTCCCTCTGAGGTTGAGAGAGTGTGACTTGCCCATCCAGTGGGTTTCCATGGCCAAGAAGGCATTTGAACCCTGGTCTCCAAAGTCCTAGTCCAACCCTCAAACCACTATGCCATGCTGACTCTTAGGGCAACCCTAAGATGACCCTATCATGGGATTTTCTGGGGCTGAGAGTATGTGACTCATCCAAGGTTACCCAGTGGGTTTTTGTACACAAGCAGGGAATCAAACCCTGATCTCCAAAGTTGTTGTCCAATCTATTGTCACTTGCAAGGGGAAGTGGAGGTTTAATCTTGACCTTTTGAAGGTTCTTCAGGACATTTGAGGCCAGGATCTGGAGATTGGGGTTCAATTTCCTGCTTGGCTATGGAATCCACTGAGTGACCTTGGGCAAGTCACATACTCTCAGCCTCAGAGGATGGCAATGGCAAACTCTCTGGACAAAATCTTGCCAAGAAAACCCCATGATTGGAGAGGAGTCGAAGGCACACAACAACAATAAATGGGCGGTATAGAAAAGCAGCACTTTGGAAAGGTACAGCTTTCCTTCCCATCCAGTTGTTATATTTTACTGTTGTTATTTTACTCTTGTTATATTTTACTGTTGTCAACCGCCCGGATTGGTTCGCCACAGGGCGGTATACAAATAACTATTATTATTATTATAGTTGTTCTCCTTAAGTGTTGGATTTTGACTTCTATCCTTCCTAGATGCCATGGCCGACAGAGCTAGAAAGACTTTCCAGTATGGGAAGTGGGTATTTTGGATGGTTTCACTCAACTGTGTGATGATCCCAGAGTTCTGGGTTCTCTTTTGATGGAAGGAATACGTAAATAGAGACCTCAGATAGCAACTTGGGGAGATCTGGCTCATGATTCCACATCCTAGTGGCAAAACATGGAGTTGAGTGGGCAAATGGATTACAGCAATTCAATTCAAGTTGCATTGGACCTTCACCTGTAACTTTCTGCTCTTTATGAAAGTGGCAATCCAAGGAAAGTGGTGGGGGTCAGGGGACCTGTTGTAAAGGTTCGGAGAATGAAAGGCTCCATCTGAAGGACTTTAAATCAGTTCTGCTTCATGTGTAATTGTGTTTCCTTTGCAGCTGTCAAGGTGTCCTTGGTGGCTGCTCAGGTTTTTAAACTCTTTGCCAAGCGAAGTTGAGCTGACTCTCTTCTTGTCATTCGTCCTTGACCGTTTTATTCAGACAGGCGTTTAGTATTTTGGATAGGCTTTGACCGGATGGATTTTGAGTTTTGAATTGTGTCCTTAGTATGCTTTCTATGTTTCAATTGTATTTTAAAAAAGTTTTAATTTACAATCGGCCATCTGTAACCACAGATTTTTTTTAATCCATGGATTTAAGCATCCACAGCTTGAAAATATTTTTAAAATATATAAATTCCAGAAAGCAAATCTTGATTTTGCCATTCTACATAAGAGGCACCATATTACTGTACCATTGTATTTAATGGGACTTGAGCATCCACGGATTTTGGTATCCATGGGGGGGTCCTGGAGCCAAATCCCAGCGGATACTCACTGTATTTGTTTTAACTCAGTTTTACCACTCTTTGCCACTTTGGATGCAGTTTGTTAGGGAATCAACTCGACCATTTAAACGTGGTTTATTTACTATTTATGTCAAACCCTATTATCTGTATCAAACCCTATACCAAACCTATTATTTAAACAAGGTTTTCTTTCTCAACTTTTAAGCAAAGTGAGATCTTGTAGTACCTTTGAGATTAATTGAAAGAAAGAAGTTGGCAGCATGAGCTTTCCTAACTTAAGTCTTGTAACAGGAAATGTGTTCTGTTAGTGAATGAACATCACTCCTAATGACTAGGAAATGCTGTTATTGCATAACATTTAATTGTTCACACTTACCCTCAGCTCATTTATTCCCCCCCCCCTACTCCTTGTTCTCACTTCTTTATGCCTCATTGATATGCACAAGGCTCTGATGCTGCTGAAGTTGCTATATGCTTTTCCCTAACTAACCAACTTTCTACAACTCTGGATTTCCCCAGCCAGCAACTAGAAGAGAATTCTTAAAATTTAACTTGTGTTTTCAATGTGTTGGTGTGTGCTTTATAGTTGTTTCTGATTTTAAGGTGGCCCGACCCTATCATGGGGCTTTCTTCATCAGATTTGTTTAGAGAAGGTTTGCCTTTGCCTTCCTCTGAGGATGAGAGAGTGTGGACGTTTTCACACGGACGGCTCTAAAGCCGCCTGGAAGCTGCCTGGAAGCAAAGAAGAGCCATTCCGGCGGTGAAAACAGCAGCCGCCGGAATGGCTCCTGATTGCTTCCGGCAGCAGCCCCTCTAATTCCTTTTTAAAAAAGGAATTAGAAAGACGGGGCTAAAGCCGGCCAGCGCCGGGGAGGGCGCAGGGATGGCGCTGGATGGGGCGGGGCTTGCTGCGACGTCGTATGAACACGCGCAGCAAGACCCCGGACGGATGCCGGATAGCGCCAGGGATGGCGCTGGATGGGGAGGGGCTTGATGCGACGTCGTCTGAACAATTTGACAATGGACCCGGAGTGGGGCCGGACGGAGGTAGGATTGCCTCCGTCTAAAGCCCCGTGTGAAAACGTCCTGTGACTTGCTCAAGATTACCCAGTGGGTTTCCATGACCAAGCAGGGATTTGAAACCTGGTCTCCAGAGATGTAATTCAGTGCTGAAAGTGCGACACCATGCTGACTTCCAATGCATAAGAGGTATAAAATGTGACCAATGTATATGGTTAGGTTTGAGTTTGTTTGTGCTTTCAGTTTTCAGCAGAGTGAAAAATATGTATGGACATTGAAATGGAAGAGCTTTACATACCCCTAATGTTGCATAGAGGAGCCATCTGTCACTTCACTTGTGGGCAAAGTAAACAGCTTTTTGTTTCAGAGTGAGTAACTGTTTTAAACTGCTCGAGGGCAACTGTGCGAATAAGCATAATTGCCTGTATGAGGTCCATTTGTATTCTCCGTTGTTGTTGTGTGGCTCCAAGTCATTTTGACTTAGAGATCCTAAGGCAAACCTATCATAGCATTTTCTTGGCAAATTTCTTCCGAGGGGGTTTGACGTTGCCATCCTTTGAGGCTGAGAGAGTGTGACTTGCCCGAGGTCACTCAGTGGGTTTTTATGCTCAAGCGGGAAATCGAACCCTGATTTCCAGAGTTGCAGTCCAGTACTCAAACCACAAGACCACACTGGTTCCCATTTATATTCTTATCACTGGCTTAAAGGTATACCTTAGTTAACTGAAGAGCTGTGTTCCTGAGCATTATTTTAACAGAAAATTTGTTACTGGAATCAGAAATAACAGAAAAAGATTAGAGATAGATTCTTACACTGGAAAAAAAAAAAGAAAAGAAAAGAAAGAAAAGCAGTTCAACTTTTTATTCAGAAGAAACATGCAGTCGCTTTGAGTCCCTATGTTGGGAGAAAGGTGGGATATAAGAAATAATAATAACAACAACAGTGGTCCCTCCACATTTGCTGGGGTTAGGGGTGAAGGACTCCCATGAATGTGGAAAAACAGCAAATAAAAACCCCTATTCTTTTTACCTAAGAGAACACCTCTCTAGGAATCTCCAGGTCCTCCAGTGCAACTCTGTGGTCAACCTCTGCCAGAAGTTGATCACAGAATCATGCTGGAGGACCTACAAATGCCTAGAGAAGTGTTTTCTCTAGGAACTTTTAGATTCTCTAGCCCAACTCTGTGGTCAACTTCTAGCAGAGTTGTGCTGGAGGGCCTAGAGCAGGGGTAGGCAACCTTTTTGAGCCGGGGGCCGGGTTGCTGTCCTTCAGACAATTTGGGGGCCGAAGCACCAAAAATAAATAAATAAATAAATAAATAAAAATTTAAAAAATTAAAAATTAAAAAATATGCATGCAC